TGAGAAAGTGGTCTAGTTTCAACCTTCTGCATGTTGCTGTCCAGTTCTCCCAGCACCATTTGTTAAAGAGACTGTCTTTTTTCCATTGGATGTTCTTTCCTGCTTTGTCAAAGATGAGTTGGCCATACGTTTGTGGGTCTAGTTCTGGGGTTTCTATTCTATTCCATTGGTCTATGTGTCTGTTTTTGTGCCATAATTTTTTTTTTCAACGTTTATTTATTTTTTGGGACAGAGAGAGACAGAGCATGAATGGGGGAGGGGCAGAGAGAGAGGGAGACACAGAATCAGAAACAGGCTCCAGGCTCTGAGCCATCAGCCCAGAGCCTGACGCGGGGCTCGAACTCACAGACCGTGAGATCGTGACCTGGCTGAAGTCGGACGCTTAACCGACTGCGCCACCCAGGCGCCCCGAGACTACTTTTAAAAAATTAAACAAAATGTATATAATAATACATCAAGAGGATTACCTAATGCATGTACAGTGTCTAATAGAGCCCAACTCATAGTAAGTACCCAGAAAATGTTTGATATATATTAATTCAAAGAGTAAAACTAGGACTACAGGTAAATTCTCTGTCTCAGCAGAGAAGTGGATAAGAACACCCAACCGCACCAAAAGATAATGAATTGTTGATGAAGCCTGTAAATCTGCTCTCTACAATTACCATACAAAAGCAACATTCTTCATCAGCAACTCTTCTCAACTATTGTACTGATTTTTCTGAGTCTTCAGCTTCTTATCTATAAATTGGGCATAATTGTATATGAATCAATATTATTACAAAAATCAAAGGCATTAGGTGCATACATGTACTTTGTAAAATCCTTACATGCCATAAAAATGGTAGCTATATTTTTTATTAAAATGTAACGGAAAATTATATTGAGAAAATTTAGTATGACTTTGTTCAGGCATGAATGTTTCAAGTGCTCCAGATGTAAAATATATCAAGCAATTACTGTGTTTCACTCCTGCAGTGGAGGTAATTAATTAGAATAGATTTATAAAAAACAAAAACAAAAACAAAACCCCATAGTGTTTTTCAGTGTTGACTTTTTCATTAGCACCATGATTGAGTGTTTAAGCTGAATGGTACCTGCTCTGAAAATAACTGAATAGGGATTGGTCACAATAATAGGATGCTCCTTCACATTTACATAGCATTTTATAAGTTTCCAAAGAGCATGTCATTTGCTTATTTGATTTCTTCCAAGCACCCCGAGATATAAGCAGGGTAGATGTTCGCATAAGGGTGGTTAAGCGATTGGCTTATCCAAGTGGAAATTAAAAGCAAAGACTTGGTCCTCCTACAGTAGTCACTGCCTTTGTCACACCCAAAGCTGTAGCAGTTTCCAACAGCAGGAGAGCAAGCCTACTGGAAGGCTTTCCATGGGGGCTGTAGGGAGCTAGCTCTCAGTGAAAGACCATGCCACCCTTTAACTAGTATCCTATATAGCTCTGGTCTTGCTTTCTGCACGGTTTCCTCGAATTTCTCTGTATTATTCTTTCAACATCTTTTATCAGTTAGGGATTGTGTTTGGATGCCGGTAGCAGAAAACCCAAAATAACATTGAGCAAACCAAGTGGAGGTTTCTTCTTTCTCCCACAGGAAAAAAAAAAAGTCACTGGTTCAGTGTTCAAGGGACTCAGAAGCCAGGGGTCTGATGTTTTGCTGACTTTTCCTTTAGTATTGGAAGACAGTAGCTACAACTCTACCCCTATATCAGATTTCCAGGCAGCAAAAAGGGAAAGAATATAGATCATATTAGTGTGTGTGCATCAGAAGGAGTACCCTCCACTTTTAAGTAGCTTTTCCAGAAACCTCTTACAATGATTTCTACTTGATCTCAGTGGTCCGACTGTGTCAGGTGGCCATGCAGATGATTAGCCCAGGCTCACCTGCTGACATAATAAAATCACGGTTCTGACTGATAGTAAGGAAAACAGGAGAATAGATATTGGTTAAGCAAATATCAGACTACCATACAACATATTACCTTTCGAATGATCATCCTCTTTGAGGATGTGCTCAAGGGAGATAACCTTTCCCCCAGTACCCAGTACCCTCCTTTTCTCTTTTTCTGGTCACATTGTCTTCCTGTGTACACCAAAGGACCCTTTAAAATAATCCCCTATTCCTACAGATTGGAACTCTTTATTTTCTCAACCATCGCTTAGCTTATATGTTCTCTGAAGCCATATCCCAGCTATCCCACCCAATAACTCTGGAAGATTAAAGAACTCCAGTCCTTTGGTCTAGAGCAGCAGTTTGTGACAACTGCCTTGAAATCTTCTTAAATGGCTCTATTAATCATGTGCGTTTATTGTAGGCTTCCCATACTTAATGTTATATGCTTTGGGTTGAACCAGCGTTACCCTTCCAAATCCTGTTTTCAATCAATTTTATTTTGACGTTAACTGATCCCAGTTACAGACGAGTTGCATTTTATATTCCTAGTTAGGCTTTCAAATGCATGCGTTTTAATGCTGAAGCATAATGCACACAAATGACTGTTGCAGATAATTCCTAACCTATGATTTTTCTGGTCTACACAAACTCGAAAGTATGTAAACCTTCGAAGTGAAGTCAGTCCAGGGTCAACATGTCCCACTTGTTCTAATCATCATTGCTGATAATCCTTTACCCTCATCCCTCTGTTTGCAAACAAGATGTCGTTGGAAGCTATATGTCATTAATAAAAGAATTTTAGAAGCAAAACACTCCCAGTGCTAGCTTTCTTCAACAGCAAGAAATGGGGGAAACACATTGCTATTGACCTTTTCAATTTTTCCTACTTACGTTTTCCAAATATCTTCATAGATTTGTTCCTTCTTTATTATGCTAGGTTCAGTCACTTTGACTGCCATGCTGCCATTAATGCTAGCTACCCATTATGGAGGCTTTTAGCTAACCATCTCCCCCATATAGTCACACACACACACACACACACACACACACACACACACATATACACACACAGCCACAGTGTTGGCTCGGCTCCAGCTAGTTCCCATTTCCCTGACATCTAATTTCTATCCTGACCCTAATAACCAGTTTCAGGCCACCATCCTTCCTGGCAGCCACCCAAAAGAATCATTAGCAACTCCTTGATTAGAAAGTTGGACTCTAAATATTGAAGAGATAGAGGCACTGTGAGGTATGCTGTTCTGGCTCTTTTTTAAGTAATTCTTTCTTTGCTATCTACAACTTCCTTTGTATAGTTCTTTCCTCTGGTAGAAAAACACTAAACTTATTGTACTTTTTTTCCCCTCACTTTCCTTTAGCGTCGAGAAGTGGCAAAAACAGTTTTCTGCTTGGTGGTAATTTTTGCTCTTTGCTGGTTCCCTCTTCACTTAAGCCGTATTTTGAAGAAAACCGTGTATGATGAGATGGACAAGAACCGATGTGAATTACTTAGGTATGATCCTGTGTACTCATTAGGAAATTGGAGTTTCCCTAATTTGCACACTTATAATACTTTTTACCAAACCACCTAGTCTATAGCCTCATTAGCCGTGAAAATTAAAACTGCCAAGTTGATTATTTTTCTTGAGCTGACATAGCCCATGACTGATCCCCAAATTTGTGCAAGCCATAGCTTGGCTTGTGGCTCCCCTCCTGAGGCTGTGCATAATGGTTTGAGCTAACCAAGTGGCAGGTATATCTGTAAATGTTCTGCAGAACTGAAACTGCCATTTAAACAAGCACTTTAAAAAAATTCTGACTGCCACCTATAAGAAATGGCTCCTGGGCAAGAAAAATGCTTATTCTAGGGATAAATGCTAGCTAGCAGATTTAAAAACATTGTCTTCTAATTATTCTACACTATTTTCTTTTGTTCTAGTTTCTTGCTGCTCATGGATTACATCGGTATTAACTTGGCAACCATGAATTCATGTATAAACCCAATAGCTCTATACTTTGTGAGCAAGAAATTTAAAAATTGTTTCCAGGTAAGAATGTTTTGCACGTATTTTTTAAGGACAACCAAATGGTTATATTAAGTAGCCAACAAGCATGGCTAATTCTAGTAGAGAAGTTAAAATCATATTCTGTTACCTAGAGAGTCAGATTGTTAGCATAAAGCAATATTGTCCAGATGTTAGCGAGGATGCGGAGAAAGAGAATCTCCTTTGCATTGTTGGTGGGAATGCAAACTGGTGCAGCCACTCTGGAAAACAGTATGGAGGTTCCTCAAAAAACTAAAAATAGAACTACCCTACGACCCAGCAATTGCACTACTAGGCATTTATCCAAGGGATACAGGTGTGCTGTTTTGTAGGGACACATGCACCCCCATGTTTATAGCAGCACTATCAACAATAGCCAAAGTATGGAAAGAGCCCAAATGTCCATCGATGGATGAATGGATAAAGAAAATGTGAGATATATATACATATA